CTATCAGCCGTCACCTTGCTGGTGGAGAAGCTGTAATTTGGGGAGGTTGGGAACCCGCCCAACACTGCCCAGCTACCCACTGGGAGCAGAGGAGACAGGACTGGCTGCACAGGAGTCTGGCACATGGATCCACCACCTCCATCCACCAGACCACGCTGCCTTCCCGCAGGAGGTCCCAAAGGGTTGCACTGCACAGCACTGCCATCGCTGTCCCACGGGCTGAAATCTGTGACCACTGTCCCAGCTAAAATGATGGACTGAATAATATGACTTGTTTCTTTTTTTTTTTTCTTTTTTTCCTTTTGTCTCCACTGTTCTGTTAGCATTGCCCAGCCCCTGGATTACCATCAAAGCCACTAAGGGTGACGTCCAAACTCACAGCAACCAAGGATGTCATCTCAAAAGGTCACATCTCCAGAGAAGTCCACCAACTTAACCAAGAAGAAACTGGACAAGAGCTCACTCCTAGTGACACCCATGACCAAAAACAAATGTATGGCTGATACAGAGCATGGAGGACCACCTCTGCCCCAACTCTCACTGTATGGACATGGAGCATGGGCACGAAGCAGCAAAGTCCAGACACTGCATACAGAAGCACTGAGCATCCCAAATCTAGGGCCGGTGCACAACCATCAGGCTGGAAAGGAGAGTTTAATTCAAATTTCCCAGTAGGAGTAAGAAGTGTAAATGCTATGTTGTGGCTGCCCCCCAGCTAGGGAAGCATCACTCATTTAACACCTTCCTTCAGGCATGACTGTCCCCTCAGCATTGTGCAGCACTGGAAACCTTGGTGTCCCCCACTAGCGGCTCAACTGACTTCAAAGACCCTTTAAAGCAGTGTCCTTTAAACACAGACCTTAAATAAAAACCTCTCCGTGTCTCTGGGGCTCAAATCCAGCTGCTGCTGTTACACCAACAGCATGACTGTCCCCAGGGCAGCTCACTTCTGGCAGCAAGATCCCCAGCCTGCGCACGCAGCTGACGCATAGCATCCACCTTCACAGCACGGACCCGGCATTACCGGTTTCCCAAACTTCCCAGGCCCTTTGGCTTCACCAGAAACTTCAGCAGCGGGGCTGGAAGTGGCGACGGCAGCAGCTGCCGCGAGCAGGCGGGTGGTGCAGAGCACCACATTCCTCCCCTGGGAACGGGCAGCGCGAATAAACCGAAAAGCCGATTTTATGGCATCTTTCAAATTCTTAACGAGCCAACAAAAATTACTGCTCTTTTTTTTTTTCTTCTTCTTCTTCCTCTCATTTTTAAAGTAACGAGGCTTTGGGGATCGATATTGAATTTTTAAATGCCAGGATATCGTTAGATGCATCTGGGGGTGGTTAATCAAAAGCACTGAATAAATAAGCAACACAAGTTCCCCAGCAGGATATAGGGGAGCTAGGGGATGGCTGCCCACCTCCTCCCAGCCCTGACTCCACCCAGGCACTGGGGCAGTGCTGTAAAAGCAGGGTGGCCAAGGGCTTGCAGGATGGGCTCTTTGGCACGGAGGGCTCCATCACACTGTGCTCAGCAGGAGACATCCAAACCCGAGCTGAGGCCATTTATAGGGCTGCAGGGGAGGTGGATTTCCCCTCCCTGGGAAAACACAGAAAGCATTTTGGAGGCAGGAGGTGGCTCTCCAAGGAGAGGAGCTGGGGATAGGGGTGAGCAGGGTGAGAAGCAGGGTGAAGGAGAGCCCCACACCGACACAACCACCTCCTCTCCCTCCTCCTGGCCCCAGCGGTGCCACCCGCATCAGCAGGGGCAGGGCAGGCGGCAGCGAGCCAGCTCAGCCAGCCAGGAGGTGCAATTATCATGAAAGCTCAGCAGGCTGGAGCAGGGGAGAGGAGATGCCTCCCCAGCCAAATGAATAGGTTTAACGCTACTCGCATTCCTGCATTCCTCTGCCGCTGTGCAGTGAATAAACCCTCACAACTGCTAAAAAACGAGGCGGTTTTGGTTAAGCTGCGTGAGTGTGTGTGTTTTGTAACCTTACACCTTTGCAGACAGAGCCCTGCTATGTTTGTAATCTAGGAGCTGAGGTTTTCCAGAGCCAGCTCGTGTAACCAGGCGGAGACGTCAGCACATGCCTATTTTATGGGAATAGGATCCCACTGCAAGTGTGCAGGGATGGGACAGAAAATGCGTGGCAGCACCTCGCTGGGCACGGGTGCAGCACGGGTCCCTGGCACACACACGGCCGATGCTGATCGTTTTACACCCAAACCTTTTCACCTTTCACCTGTGCGAGTCTTTCTGCAGAGGATCCTGTCTGGGTCTAGAAGCAATAATAGCATTTGTTCGTTCATGGTTTCACTGAAAAACTCAGTGGCTCCTTAGCCAAAGGTGAGAATCCACATGCTTTGCCCAACCTTGGCTCCTCAAACCTGCATCTGACACCACCACCTCTCATCTCTTCAGAAACTCCAGCAACTCTCCCTCCCTGCCTTGCTCCCGTCCTACCTCTCCATCATCCCCCAGTCCCATGTCAGGCTTCCCTCCTGTGGGTTTCAGCCATGGTCCCATTTTTCTTCACCTCTCCTTCACCTCCATTAAAACATGCATCCAGCTCTCCTCACACACGACTCAAGACTTTTCTCTCTACTCCAGACTGGTCTCCTTATGTTCAAAATAGTCTTGGGACATCCTTTGGATGCTCACTCATCCAGCATCCAAATCTCCTGCTGCCACCAAAGCCCTTTTTTCTCACATTGCAGCCAACACAACTACCCTTCCTTGAGAAATGTAACTTCTTCTGACCAAGGAGTACATTGACCACAAAGGTCATTTCTCTACCCCACTTCACCTTATCAAGGCTCCCCTCTTTCCTTACCGCGATACTCGAGAGTTCCCTAACTTTCAAGGCATAATCCATGCCCTGCGTTACCCACAACCTGCTGCTCACTCTTACAAAACTGACTTCTACTTTGGTGCCTTACTGTGGCTGCACCTGGGTACAAAAAAGTCGTATTTGTTCTCAATTAAATCGCAGCACACAGATTCCGACCTGTTCCTATAGGCATCTCTTGACACATCGCTCTTGGTAATGCGGAAAGCATCCCATGATGATTTTCTGTACATGTAGAAGAATAAAATACTACCCTTGCTATCAAACCCTGGAAAGGCAGGAGCTCAGCCACAACCCAGCACAGAGGGAAACAAGCAAACAGAGCTACACATTCATCAAGGAGGAGAGAGCATGCTGCATGAGCATGCTGAGCTGCAGCTTCTGCAAACACATCAGGATTTTTATCCAAACACAGCATTTACTCCTCTCTGCATTCACATGGCAGAACAGCCAAAATGCCCCTGAATAGTCATGTCAGGAGTCCTGACCAGCAGTGACACTGCTTGGCAGGCATCTGCCAAACCTGCAGAGCGAGACGTGGCTGGAGAAGTCTGGCCAAGAGCAGGGAGAGGAGGAGATACCCAGCTGGCCAGGAACATATGCCGGGCAGCTCTCACATTGGCATTCACAGCAAACCAGCTTTGCAAGTCTCTGAGGACACTACTCAGCAGATATGTAGACATTTACAACAAAAAAAAAGTCCACGTGGACGTGACTTTCCCTTGGCTGTGGCTTTCCAGAAGAGGCTTGCATGGCCAGTTCATTCACAAGACCATTGGGGCAGATCCAGCCAGTGCTGCAGCCGCAAGTGTTGCACCTGGTGCCAGCCACCAGATCACTGCCTGGTGACAATCTGATAGCCACATGAGACCAGTGTCCTGTAGCACAAAAAGGAGATCCGCAATCAGCAGGGTTGTTTTTGTTTGTTTGTTTGTTTGTTTGTTTCTCCTTTTCCCGCTTCTCGCCCATCCTTCATTTGAACTTGGCCTGAACTGACACTGTAACAAGAGAAGCCAGGCACAAACCACAGACACGGTAGACCTTAGAAATGAAGTGAGAGCTCTCTTGCCACTTTTTGTGCTCATTGCTGGGACTCGGCCTCATCTCTGCATATTTGGGATCAACCTGAGCCATGCAGAGGTTGCTCTGCCTTCCCCCAAGCCCACAATGCAGCCAACAACAGCCCCCAGCAGGAAGCATTTCTCCTGGCTCATACCAGAAGGTTTACAAACATGCACATGGAAGTGTTTTTTTGGGCAAGAGCCTGTGCTTTTCACTTGTTCTTTAAGTCAGCTACCAGAGCCTTTGGTCAGGATTTCTCCAAAAGTGAAAACACTGGCTTCTGAGAAAAAGCAACATTCTGTTTGGTTTAACACAAACAATTCCCTTTGTTTTATTAACACAACAATTAGACATTACAGGCATCTTCAGGCTAACTTTGATTACAGCCATGCAGGTTCTGTATATCCAATGCTATACAGTCCACAGGTACTGAAAAGGCAAATGGGTCCCTCTGTGGCTCTGATGAGCAGATGAAGCAGGGATTTCACCAGATCCTAGTGGAACATGTCTACCTAGACATGTGCAAACAGACCTGGGCTTGCTCCACTCATACTAAGGTCAACCGGACACAGTCCAGCTTAAGACAAAAGCCACGGAGACACAGTGCTCTGCCCAAGCTCATATGCCCGAGTGGATGCCCAGCAGACCTTTGATTCTGTCCTCCACAACAGTTACATGAGAATGAAGGGTTACAAATTCACTATGATCCAGAAAATTCCTCATAGCCATAGCTAATAACTTCTAGAAAGAATAGATTTAAGTGAACAAGTGTACAACACTGTCTTGTTTGAATGGTGGCTTTCATGCCAATTGCTTTGGGAATAATTTGGGGACCTGTGTTACCATACTGTTTAGGTTCGTGGAAAAATTATTAAGAAACACAAGCTTATTGTCAGGAGACTTAAAGTTCCTCGAAAGGATCCCACACCTCCACAAAATAAACAAAAATATTTAGGAATCCACAAGGTAAGAACGGTGGAAAACCAGTTAGAAGGTGTATAATGAAGGGAAATCCACCCTTGGGTGGCAACAGCTGCTAAAAACCCAACCCAACCCAAACAAAACCCCCACAACAGCAATGACCTCACTGCTATGGTTTGCGAGGAACGGTTTATTCAACAGAATAGAACTTGTTCACAGGGAAGAAAGTGAGTTGAAATGCAGCCAACACAAAGATAAATATGAATGTACAAAGGCTTTAAGATCCTAGGTAATCATCAAAAGGCCAGTCCAACAGCCATGTGAAAACAGCCATTTGCCACATCACCAACATCCTTGTGTACAGATGGCACCTGGAAGTGCCTGACGAACCATCCCAGCAACCACCAGGCTCGATCACGTTGAGCTCGAATGCCTCTGTAAACACACAAGAATAAAGCATATTTCTAGGTGTAGGTGGGTGACAAGACAACCACGCGCTGAAATAGAAGGAGCTGATGGCGTACCGGACTTTTCCCTTCTGTTGAAATAAAATTTTGCCCTATGCTGTATTTATTTATGGAGGCCTGGAATTAGTTTCAATATAGTTTGAGGGAGAAAATAAGAAAATTAATGACCTTCTATACCTCAGAACTCCTGACACAGTTGGAGAGGGAAAAAAAAAACAAAGAAAAAAACACTTTTTCATCCTATAAATCACATGGATGCAATCCCAAAGGGTGAGGCAGAATGGGCTGAAACTCATAGTTCAGTTCCACAACACAACAACACGGCATGAGTCTAGCAACTCAACACAGCCAAAAATCCGGTAGCCTCTCCCCATCTCCCCTTTCTAACAGCACAGTGAGCTGTGGCTGGATGAGTGCTGCAGTCAGTGCAAGGACAGAGGTCACCAGTGGTGCTGTCCTTGTTGGTGGCAGAAGGGTGACAGCCCAGCACACAGGCAATGAGCAGCAGAAGGAGGAGAAGGAGGAGGAAGGGAAGGCATAATGTATGTATAAGAGGCTCATTTTGTTTTTCTGGGAAACTGCTTATAACCAAAACTCCAAATCAGATGCAAATTTCATAGCTGGAAAGAATGGTGTTTGTCTCTGTTTTGGTTTTGTTTGGAGCTTCTTGGCCTGTTCAGCAAGATGCTTGTAAGCATCTTGTCCTAATGGAACAATTATGATTTTCCTTAAGAATTTCAAGCTGCCTCAGACAACTACCAAAAGCTGTTCTCACTACCAAACACATTTATCTCTTTTCAGAAGGAAAAAACCATAATATTTCACTATTCCCTACTTCTGCATGAATGAACCAGCTAAGAAAAAAAGAGAAGACACCCACTTAGTCTAGGAATAGAGGAAAAAAATACACACAAAATGCTTTCAAAATTGCACAGACCACATAAGTGGGAAAGAAAAGCGAGTGAACAGACAAGAGAGCTGCTCTCACCCCCTTCATGTCACAGGTGCAGGGCAGCCAGGAGCACCCATTACTCCTAAAAAAGTGCAGCAGGAGACTCCTTCCAAGCTCCATATTCCCCTTCCTCTTCTGTTTGTTAAAACATTGAAATGCTCTTTGCCAGAAAGGGCTCTGACATTGTCCAAATTACAACCAAAATTACAGGTGTTGCTTTCCTAGCTCCAATCTCAGACTACACTTCACTGGGACCAGTGCCCAACTCATCTCACCATGCTGTACGTCCCACCCCAGATGAGCTGCCGTGGACGATGTGGTGGCTGCAGCTGTAGGGCACAAACACAGGGATGTAGGGCGCAAGACAGAATTGGTGGAAAGACTTCACCGGGAATCAGCAATGGCCCCAAACAGGCACCCAGAAAAGCAGAGCCCCCGGGCAGGGAGTGGGGCAGTTTCAGCAGGGACGAGTCAGGGCACGCTGCTACACGGGGGACTTGGTAGGTCAGGTTGATGGTTGGACTTGATGGGCACCCATCCCACGGAGAAGCCCACGTCTGATCTGGATCAAAGGCACGCTGCTGGGCCATCCTGTGGGCAGGAACTGGTTGTAATGGTCGTGAAAGCCAGATCTGTGAAGGAGATGGAAGGGGGAAGTGTTGCAGCTCTCGGCTGGCTCCCTAGAAGCAGGTTCACACGGAGGAAAGATGAGACAGTCGGCAGCTGCCGAGGTTGGTTTCCAATCCAGGGCGCTGGGAAATGGTGGGTGTAAAGAAATTACTGAGGCTCTAGTTTTGTGGCTTTCTGCTGTCTTCTGCATAAATGAAGCTTGAGTATTGAGAGAGAAAAGACCAAAAAACAAACAAACAAACAAAAAAAGTGATAAATGCCTTGTGTTTCACAGAAACAATTCTCCCAAAATAAACCACGTACAGTCCTGCTGCTAACTCTTGCAGCAAAATACATTTTTGCAGAGGTCTTGCAGAGAAATACATTCACCAGCCCCAAATGAAATAAATTATTCCCCACACCTCTTTTGCTCTTTACTTCTCAATGAGATGCTGACTTCAAAGCCCAGCTGGAGCCATTTGGATGCTAATAACATTAAGCATCTGCAATCTAAGAAATAAACCCTTTCCTGGAATCCACGCCCTCACCTAATCCACCCCCTCCTCTCGGCTCTTTCACCGAATGCCTGCAGATCCACCTTTCCCAAGGATAACTCTTGTAATTCCGCATCCCTCTCTGGAATTTAACCCACTCTAACTCCTCCTCTCCCCAGCCCCCTGCCCTATAAGCACTGCAACCCCCCAAGCTGGGGTTGCGGTAGCTGTAAAGACCTTAAAACACTCCAACCTTTGATTTTTTTTTTTATTATTATTTTTTTTAAACACCATTTTCTTTGGAAATTGTTTTGGTGGGGTTTCAGCTTCAACCATTTGAAAAAGTACACAAGTACCCTGCAAGGCTATGGAGGTACCCCACGGTGGTCTGCCACACTCAGCTCCTAATGTGTAGGAATATCTTCTCTCTTGAGTTTCAGCCTCTGCTCCATCACACAAGTCCTCTACGTTGCTGCCAAGCAGCTCTCACTCGCTCCCAGCCTTAATTTCCAGCTATTAGATGGGAGCAGCCAGCCTGGTGCCTGCCCGGCCGGCAGCGACGGGGCGAAGGCTGCGCCTGCAGGACGCACAGGCACTGATGCAATGGGAAGTACCTACGGTGCCCAGCAAAACCACGTCTCCTCTCCAACTGGGTGCTGCCTGTAACTTCCATTCAGTGAATTCCACAAGGAAAGCAAGTGAAGGAGGCATGAAAGAGGCATGAAGCAGGCATGCTCCTGCAGCACACTGTGGAAAAGCTTCAGACTTCACCTCCACCAGCCTTCATTTGCAAATTCATGTCCAAAAAAGGTTCCTGCTCCCCCACATGGAAGAGGTGATGCTGAAGCTTTGAAGCAGCCTGTTTGCCACCTCTGTGCATTGAGGGCAACACAGGCAGCAGGTTAGGGTTGGGCTGAGATCGGGCACTGCTGATTAAATCCCTGCGGAAGGTGGAGTGGCAGTCTGAGTCTGTGATGTGCTGATGTGCTGCACGGATGCTCCTACCCCGGCCACACCAGTTGCAGGGCTGGGAAATGGGAAGAAATCTGGGTGGAAGGGAGGAGAGCACTGAGGGTGAACAGGTGCAGCCTCCTGGGGGAGACCTAGGAGCGCTCAGGAGCACCTGAGGTGGGTGGGAAGTTCTCCATCCAGGCACCCACAGAGAGGGGTTGCGCAGCCTCAACTGGAAAGCTGCCCAAGTGTAACTGGAAAGTGAGCTGCCCGAGTGTAAGGAAGGAGAGAAGGGGGAAAATGCTGAGGCAGAAGCAACAGACTACACAAGCTGAAGACTACACAACAGCCAAAGATGTCATGGGGGTCCCAGCACCCTTCTCATCCCCACCTCATCCCCAGAAGGACCACATCAGATGCACTTCACCCCCAGGGTAACAGTAACCGAAGCAGTGGATTTCAGTAAGTTCCTTTACCAAATGTTCTCAAAGAGCTTAAAGAAAACCCAGTGGTAAATTTGGATCAATTCTCCATTTACAAAGGAGGAGGCTCAGCCACATTAAGCACACATTTTCCCTGCAGAGCACACCCAAAAGTAGCGCACACCCAAATTCACACGCATGCAGCAGAAATAAATGAAATTAGGTTTCCTGCTCCTTTAATGAGCCTCCAACTCCAGCTGCTCAGTAAAACGGGACAGCTGCTCAACAGGAACCCTGTGTGAAAGAGTCAGAGGTGCAACTACAAGCATTTTTGTGGAAATCTTCCTTTTTTCAACAAATGTACTTTTGAAATCAAAAGCAGCCATCCAGAAGACACAGGGAAACTGAGATAACAGCAATCATTCAAACGACGTGCGATTCTCAACAAAGCAAAGGCAAAGCATTTAAACTCAGTCAAGTTAACACACACCTTGAAAGGTTTAGGTGAACAAAACGTTAAAGAAGCATGAAGCAGAAAAACTTAACATTATTAATAGAAACAGAAAAGGAAACGGAAAGAGAAGTGGAGAAGGAAATGGAAAAGGGGACGGTAGCTCGTCACCCAACACACCAGCTGTTTGTAACGGGCTATGGCAGCTTTCAACGCCTTCCTTCAAAAGATGACAACATTTATTTTACTAACACAATACACGAGCTGGCACAGACTTGCAGTACGTAAGCCCTTTTACAAACCTGTGCTTTGCCACGCTAAATAAAAGCAGTTTGTGGGCAGGCTCCTTGCAGGAAGAGGCTGTAGGGATCAGTATCACTGTGACTTCACCCCACAAATGGCACTGTAGGGTGGGAAAGACACTAACCCATACAAGCAGGGGGTTGCAGGAAGCTGAGATCATTACATGAGGGTGAAGCTCACCTCGGCCCGGGGAGGCCCCACTCCATCCGCTGTGGTGTTTGCTGCAGCATCCCCCAATGCTTGTGCCCCCACATCCTTTAAGCACCAGCACCAGCAGCCTGCCCCACAACACCAGGCTGTTTATGCCCTTAAAAAAGTAATATGCTGAAAGCAGAGGGAGGGGAAAAACTTTGCTGAAAACTAGCAAAACCATGCTTACAGCGGAAAGCTCTCTGCACATCACCAATTTGAAAGTGTCAAAATATGAGGTCTGCAAGGTGAAGGGTGCTGAGAAGAGGTGGGAACATGCTGCTGCTCACTTCACCCCTTCCTAGACACCTGACAAGACAAATTCCACCTCCTCCATTGTGTGAGCACTGCTGTGCAGATCCCAGCTGCTGCATTTTGCATTGGCTGTGCCATAAACCAGGAGTGAGCAACCAGGGGAGATGTGTAGGGCAGCTGCCCCATCCACCCCGAGCAGTGTGACCCACACCCAGCCAAACCCACATGGTTTGGATTAGCAATGCCTCATCCTCTGCAAAAAGCCGGCGCATTTCATTGAACCACCGTGCATTGACCCTTGAGGCAGATTTAAATCACCTGAAACACAGGATACATTTCAACATCAATAAAGGGAGGAAAAGGTGCCCACAATCTTTTCTTTCTTTTTTTTCAAAACTGATCCTCCATCCCATCAAAGTATAAGGCCATCCATGGTACGCTGACTGACCAAGCATTGTCCCCAGCTCTGCAAACCACTCCTCAAGCCCCGGACTGACACACCATGGGTCTGCTACTCCCATGCACGCACACAAACATCCCATCCCATCCCATCCCATCCCATCCCATCCCATCCCATCCCATCCCATCCCATCCCATCCCATCCCACAGCATGGATCCGACCTCAGCACCTCGTCCCAAAACTCCTGCTACTCTTTTCAACTCCCTTACCCACCCATCGCAATAAAGCTACAAGTGGTTTACAGCAGAGATTCAGAGGCCTGTGAGATATTTCCAGATTTTTTATTTTTATTTTTATTTTTTACTGGCTACGTATTTCTGGCTAAAGTCAACAGCTACAGTCATTGCTATTACACATTGTCCTCAGTCTGAGGGCTATTTTTGCACACGGTAAAAGGAACTGCAGTTCTTTCTGATTAATTCCACAGAAATGTCCATTGCTCAGACAGGATTCTGTAAAGCCAACTTGAACTAATCACTGGATTAGCTTAAAACAATTAAATTATGTGGATGATCATCCTCTGGCATCCAAAACATCCTTCCGGGTTTTTTGTTCACTTTTAATGATTTTTTTTTTTGTTCTGTTCTTATTGTCACCATTGGGTTAATCGCAGACAGAGCAGAAACCTCCCTACCAGTCAGCTCGTCATGGTGTTGCCCAAAATAACACAGTTAATTTCCGTAACCGGCTTTCCACAAAAGGACGTCTCCACTTCCAGTCATGGCTCAGCACATGCCTCGGGATTCAGTCTGGAGGGTCGTATGTCCACTACAGAGCTGCATGGTGCTGCAAACCCCAGCACTGTACCATGCAGAAGGCAATAAACACAGGTATGAGCCAACCTCAAGGCGTTTTGGCAGCACCAGAGCCCACCTTGCACGCCAGGCACAAAAAGACCCTAAATTGGACCCGCAGTGTACAGAAAAAAGCAATGCTGCAAAGCAAAGTTGGCAATGCTCCTTCACACACCTTTCCCCCAAGTTTTATGATGAAAGAAAACAAGGCTGCAGGTATTTCTACCATCAGCTGGGCTTTTAGAGGAACAAAATGCTTATTTTGATGCTTCAGAGTCGATCCGGGGTCAGCACAACCTCCAGCTGGGCAGCAGCCCCGCAGGACTCCCCACACAACACTTTCTCCTCTCCTTTCCCTTTGTTGAAGCACCATTTGAAGTAAAAGCCTTGCAATGCAGTAACCACAGAAAGGCAAGCAACCAAATTATGAAGAAAGCACACAAAGCACATGATGACATTTAAAAGTGAGGTTGCTCTTACTCATTTGAATTTCAAAGGCCAGGTTGACACAAGACATTTTTCCTGTTATAGCTTTGTCTGCCGAGGGAATAATACCCATTTTTGACAGCTGTTGCCGCACAGCATTAGCCAAAGCCTTCCTGTAGAGGCAGCTGCAATGACATTGAACTCTTGACTGGAGAGCATCAGGTCTAACCTGGGAAACCCCCACTCTGTCTGATACAGCCCACACTGATCTCTGAAGGCTTACTCATGTCCACACAAACACCGACCCTTCCAGAACGAGCTATGGTTTGAGTGACTATTAAGCTGAAACTTCTAAGTGTTTTCTTTCCTTCAGCAATTTCACACTGCTGAAACCTTTTTATCATCAGCAGAGCTCTCACTGAAGAAGGTGATAGTAAGTGACAAAACTCAGGCTCAATGTTTTAACACCTTTGTGGCCTGTATCAAACTGTAAGGTCTCTCTCTTTTCTTTCTTTTTTTTTCTTTCTTTTGTTTTTTCTTTCTTTTTTTTTCTTTTTTTCTTTCTTTTTTTTTTTTTGTAGAAAAATGGTGTTTTAATCAAATCAAGAAAGAGTAACAGCCCCAGTACTGAGGATGGAGGTCCACCAATGTTATTAATGCAAATAACTAGTGGCAAGCTACAGTACTCCTCAAAGCAAGAGCTGCATCTTTATGCAGTCCAGAAATTTGACGTAAAATCTAGCTAAAATTGAAGCCCACCAAGACCCCTATGTTGGGCATAACATCTGCCTCAGATGACAACCTCAAAACTGACCGTGAAAGTACATGGTAAATTTACTGTAATAAATAATAACTTCATCTTCTTATCTTCTTCCCAAAACTGAACTGTCACAAAGAAACAAACCCTCCTCCTCACACTAGACCACAAACATCTTAAGTGTCTGTTTTCACGTTTTCAGTCTAGAAACTCCAGAGCTTCTTGTAAACCTCTATTTGCCTATTACAAAGACACCTGTCACAATTCAGCTTCACTGGGGTTTACATTATGCAAATATGTAAAACTGACACGGTCACGGCAGACGATGTCTCCATCTCCTTTGCAGACATGATGCTGACAGTGCAGAGACCATAAAGGTCATTAATGTTCATGCAATGAGAACATCCTCTTCCAAACAGGACCAAAAGATAGGTCAATTAAGTGGCCATCTTGCTCCATGGTTTCTTTCAGGTTGGAGATGAACATTAGGGTCCAGTTTTCTCCCACAACTTGACCCCAAGGTTACATCTGGTTCCTTTTCTGCCCCAAAAGCACATTGGTTTGTTGGGTTCCTCCTCCTTTGTTATTAAGTTTGTGCATGTGAACCTAGGACATACACCACCAAAACACATCCTCACCCCTTCCCTCAGGAGGAGATTCCTTCTCTACACAAATCCATTCAAAATTCCCCATCCTAAAAGACCTGGGGATGGAGGACAAGAGGGAAGAAGAGATGGTTGCACCCAATTTCAGACTGTGACAACTTAAGTCTTTTTATTGGGCTGCAGATCCCTGGTTTTACCCACAGCGTGAATAATGAAAATGTAGCAAAGTAAGGAATGTAAGAAGCAACAGGGGGATCCACTTACCACCATTAACCATCTCAATATCCAAATGAGGATTTTCCTTTCAAGTCTCACATCTGATGCAGAGTTCCTCCCTGATGATCTTCTCCTCCACCCACCACCACTGCCTTCAGCCTTCACCTACACCTGTGCTACAGCAGTCACTCCAGGCATGGTCCAGCACATTTCCCCTCATCTTTCAGGGCAGTTTTATCCCAGTTTTTAAAGCCATTTTCCCCATTTCTGCTTTGACTACAGGAAGGCATTTGTGGACCCAAGTCTGTACACACCTGTAACTTGGAGATTTGGGGGCTTCCACCTTGCAGCTACAAAGCCCACGCACCCCTCACATGCACATAGCTAAAGCAGCAGATGGTTCTTGTCTTCTCTTGCCTGGGAGGAGTGGTGGTTTCATTTGGGGATGAAGGGAAGCAAACTGGGACAGTTCACAGAGAGGTCTGGCAATGGCCCTGACATATCTGACCCAAGACTCCCACCACAAAAGTGAGAATGATTTCCCTGTGACAGCACAGGCAAGGCAGGCTGTATATAAATCACATATAGTGATGCATGCATGCACAGAGCTATGTATAAGATATATATAAAGTATACACCAAAATAACATCAAGGAGTACAGATGCCAAAGCAGGGATAAAATTAGCTTATTAGAGATGTGGTAAAATCTTATAAGATCATGGAAAAAAAGCCTATTTTGAACAGTAATAATCATGTTTCAAAAATAATGGATATTCTTGGCTTGAAGCCCCACATACCACAACAGACGATGATCAAGTTGGATCTCATGAGAGAAAAATCAGCCAGAAGGTCCATGGGAGATATCCCAGGAAAAACAAGGATTGCAATATTGGGGCTCTGCAGCAAATGATTTCCTTGGCATCACACAGTGCTCTAGCGTGTTGTTGAAGGCAGCCTTCTGCTGAAGTGTGATTTTCTTAAAAACACGCAGTTCTGACATGGCAAAAACAAGCAGAAGGTCAGAAATAACTTTTCAAAATCCACTCACTCTGTTAAGGCTAATTCTATATTAACTAGACAAAAAGCAATGTTGGCAGAGAAAGCTGGAATGTCATCCTTGAGACTTAACCCAGATAAAGCAAAAAAGTCAATAATGTCAAATGCGTATAAATTAGACTAAAATAATACTGTACTTAGTTCAATTATTTCATAAAAATCAAGTTAAATTGCAAAATGAGGTTGCAAACAAAAGAAAATGGGTCAGAGGGCTGTCAGCACCTGTAATCTGCACTTGGATAACATGCCCAAGGACGTCAAAGGAGACACATGTGCATCCCAGGGCTAGGAAGCATTTAGCAACTTTACTAGAAAAGTGAGGCTAGTAAGTACAAGGTAGTAGTAGCTCTTATAAAAGATATCCTAATATTAAACACTAATTAATCAAATTTAATGACAAAAAATATATTGAGTAGTAATAAATGCAAACCATAATCAGAATCAGTGTGCCCAAAACACTAAGAGCAACAAGACCCAGATCAACATGACCCCGTGTGAAGAGACATGCTCTGCTCCACACCTCATGGGCACTGTGACTTTTCTGCAAAACTTTGGATAAAAATGTCTCTCCAGAACTTTCTGAAGAGAATGTTTCACTTGATACCCAAACACAACTCTGAGTGCAATTTTGTCAGCTCAGTTTACAGCAAAAAGTTTTCATAATTTTCCCATCTTTTTTGCTGCCATTTTACTGGATTATTTGGTCAGCAGCACAATGGATAAATTACACACACATGGTAACTCAATACCTCTTCCCCACGAGGAGCCCAACTGGCAGCTTGAAGTGAGGTGCTGACCTTGGTTATCTTACCCTCTTCATTTCTCCTGCAAGAAACCACAACAAAAACCTCAAGTGAAATTGTCCTAATCTCTCCTGGAGATTTCGATTTCAGTCCGACGTGGGTGCTATTTGAAGCTTCATGAAAGGAACATCTTAAATGAAAAGGTTTGTGGTGGCGTACAGCAGTAAAATTGCTTTAAAAGCCTGAACTCATCAGTTCATCACGACATACCAAAGTGTACACATTAACACTTGGCATGCTGGCATTTTTAAAATGCTGCCTGCGGCGATGACCATCACTGCCTGTGATCTCAAACACAGTCACCCACCCACTGCTGTAGCCAGGCAGCAGCTCCACATTTTGTATTTACCCTCAATTTCAAAAAAGCAAGGACCATCATTAAACTCATTTGTATCATTAAACTCATTTGACATACAAGCAACAGCAATTTACAGGAGGGACTGCTATCTCCCTAATCTCATCTATCAAGAAATTAGGCATCTCATCTAGGAACATAGAATTTTGAAGGTTGGAAGAGACCATCAAATCCAACCAGCAACTTAATTTTGTAAAGTCTACCACTAAACCATATGCCTAAATGCTATATTCATGTGTCTCTTAAATACGTCCAGAGATGGGGACTCCACCGGTTCCCTGGGCACCTTGTTCCCATCTTCAATCATCCTCTCCATGAATAAATTCTTCCTGATATCCAATCTAAACCTCCCCTGGTGCAACTTCAGACCATTTTCTTGAGTATACTAGGTATACTAAATAAGTTTGCAGGTGACAATAGATTGGGTGGAGTTATTGACTCCCTTGAGGGTAGAGAGGCCTTGCAGAAAGATCTGAGCAAATTAGGGAGATAGGCTATCACCAATAATATGAATTTTAACATGAGCTAGTGCCGGATTCTGCACCTCGGAAGGGGCAACCCTGGCTGTACATACAAACTGGGGGACAAGAGGCTGGAGATCAGCCCCTCAGAAAAAGATTTGGGGTTTTGGTCCATGGCAAGTTGCAGCTGGGCCAGCAGTGAGCCCTGGCAGCCCTAAGGGCCAACCCTACCCTGGGTGCCTCAGGCCCAGCGCCGCCAGCCGGGTGAGGGCAGGGATTGTCCTGCTCTGCTCTGCTCTGCGCGGCCTCACCTCCAGCACTATGTGCAGGTTGGGGTGCCACAGTGTGAGGAGGACACAAAGCTGTTAGAGGGTGTCCAAAGGAGGGCAAAGATGATGAAAGGCCTAAGGGCAAGATGTATGAGGAGTGGCTGAAGTCATTTGAATTGTTCAGCCTCGAGGAGACTGAGGGGAGGCCTCATGGTGGCCTGCAGCTCCCTGATGAGGGCAGTTGAAGAGCAAGTGCTGAGCTCTGCTCTCTGGGGACAGCGACAGGACCCGAGGGAACGGCATGGAGCTGGGACAGGGGAGGGTCAGGCTGGGGGTTAGGGAAAGGTTCTGCACCCAGAGGTGGTCGGGCACTGGGACAGGCTCCCCAGGGCAGTGGTCACAGCACCAAGCCTGACAGTTCAAGAAGTGTTTCTACAACGCTCTCAGACACATGGTCTGATTTTTGGATGACCCTGTGTGGAGCCAGGGATTGGACTTGATGATCCTTGTGAGTCCCTTCCAACTCAGAATATTCTATGACTCTGTGAGTACTATCACCTGTGATCTGAGGAAAGAGACCGATGACTTCCTCAGTACAACCTCCTTGCAGGTAGTTGTACCGAGTGATGAAGTCTTCCCTCAGCCTCCTTTTCTCCAGTCTAAACCATTTTATTTCTCTCAGCTGTTCCTCATCTAAGCCAACTGTCGGGAAACTTCCCAGAGTCCATGGAGGACAAGGCTCCTACAGAGCATCACTTGTACCCTCTCTTGCCAATAAATTAGGTTAGAAATTGTTTCGTTTTTTTTGGTTGGTTGGTTGTTTTTTGGTTTGGTTTGTTTTGTTTTAGAGCATTAGCTCTAACTGGCACAGTCACACAGGTCAAACGTGTCCAAGTGGGCCAGAGTTCAGGCTGCCAAGTCACACTTGTGAACGTGTCCAGCTGTGTCACCTTCCCGAGGTCACACAGGAAGTTTGTGACAACAAAAGAATCTCAAGCTTGGGCTCCTGCCCACTTCAGGAAAATGAAATGCTTTAAAAGCCTTCAATTAGACAAAAGATTAAAACATGGACAATCACTAGTCTCTCAAGAAAACTAGGTCCTATATCTTCTTGTGCTCTCAAGGAACACACAAAAAATGAATCCCAACAAGCATCAAGATTTTTTTTTTGATTTTTTTTTTAGCACAACCACTAAAGACATATGAAAATTCAATTCAACAAGATAACCCATTCTTCCCCATCACCGAGACATCTCCTTCCAGGATAACCTGCAAGGTAAGTGATTTTCCAGTGATTGGATGCGATGAAAGCCCATTCCATCTGGTTCTGCTGAACCACACGGCAGCCCTGCCTGCACCAGGGGCACCCCCGCTGGCAAGCTCACAAGGAAGGGGTTGCAACTATACCTGTTTATCCAAAATACCAAACACACATTCAGGTTTTTAGGAGTAATATATAATAGCCCAAACCATCAGCTTTATGTTCTTTGGACCTACATTTGGATAGGAAATCTTTCCAGGAAAAGATCATCTGGAAAGCATTATCTTTATGGTATGGCCTAAGGAATTAATCCCCGTCACAATGTGTATCTGATGTCTTCCCACAGAAGGACACAACCCAATAAACAGGTATTTTTGGTATGTCATTATGCATGGCCCATCTGCAGGAACATCAGCTCTCCCTGTCGTGACCCCAGGGAATGACAAGTTACAAAATCCCCATTTATCTCATTCCAAGCCAACAGCTCTCATCAGGCTCACTGAGAGCAGAAAAACCCTGGTCACAAGGGTGACCCTCTCCTCCACAGATGAGCTCCACCTATTATTGTTGAAGGCCTCTCAGATCCTCTTGTTTTAAGAATCCAGTTGATAAATTCAGGCAAAATAAACAAAATCTGAAACCAAAACCAGCACATGCAGCTATTTGGCAGTGCTGCTAGTTCATATGTTTTGCCACCTGTTTGTTATTCCCCCCTTCAATGAAAGTGCACTGTGTTCAAGTGATTTTGGTATGACTTGCCTGTGAACCATGTCACATGGAGCCCTGTTGGTTCAAGTGAGCTGATACTGATCTGGCCACAGGCTCCAATAGAATTGCAGGTATGAATCAGTGTGAAGGTTATAAAACATCATCCCCAGAACACTCAGATATTAGCCCAATACACCACAGATTTAGTAATGAATCCTTCGTGACCTCCACCCCCTTACTCTAGCTCCACACTGGTTTTCAATGCACAGCTTCATAAATCATAAATGTATGTGGTTCTCTGGAAAAGGATCAATTTACTAGGGGACATTATTCCCACAAAGAGTTACTATCAGAGCCTCGTACAAGGTTGCATAGTCTTGAGGAGACATCTGCAGATGAATTCAGTGTCCACTGGTGCCATCACTTGATTCCCACAGGTGGCCCAGAGAAGACGTCTCTCTGTCTCCATCCAAACTCTTGAACATCCCATCTTAGCTACGACAACAGACAACATAAAAAAATGCAACATTCACAAAGTGGCCTGGAAGGATTGTGTAGGACACCAGGGAAAGCTTTCTTGTGAGCAGGACAGTGTAGTGCTGGAAGGGGTCACTTGGAGAGATAACACCTCCATCCCTGAAGGTTCTCAAGACTTGGCTCTGGTTGCTCCCCTCTAGTACTGGCAGCACAAGAGACTTCCTGAGGTCCCTTCTGGGCAGTGTTTCAGGTGCCTTCTCTGGCTCCTGCTTGGCTGTAACAAACCCTAACAGTTCAGCTGATCCCTAACAACTTCCCCACCTCATCGCCAGCTCCATTTCCTTCCATGGACAAGGTCTGGATGATCTCATTCACCTCCCCAACAAGTCCTTCCTGCTCCTGTCCCCAGGCTTTCCAGGAAAAGGCAGTGAAGACCCTACGGAGATGCAAAGGTCCGGGGGGCAGCTCTGTGAATGGTGAGGAAGGCAAAGGCATGGGGGGATGAGCTCAGGGAGGAAAGACACACAGTCTGATACACACCACCTGTGAGAGCAGGTTTTTGCACACATACATGTATGATTTAAGCAGCCATAGACACTTAATTTTAATAAGACACTGTTAATTTTAATAGGACACTGTTAACTTTAATAGGAAGCAGCAATATTGCACAAACCACTGATGCAAAACCTAAGAAAAAGACCAGAAAACATCTGGCTTCTCCATACTCAGCATCTTGACACTTCCATAAGCAGCTTCCACCTTACAATCAGATCCCACCCTCCACTATCCTTGTGTGTATACATGATCCGTGTATGTTTGCTTTCCCCTGGATGTTATCATCATAAATATACCAGGCTGTGGTCATGAGGTGGGTCAGGTTTACGATCGCAGTATTGTAATGTTTAACTGCTAGGTCTGGTTAGAAGACATGGTCAAAATGCTCAAATGGCCATGAAACACATAAACATGACATTTCTGTGATGCTACATAAGCAATATGCAGTTAGCCCTGACCATAAATGCACATAAAATACACATACATTTCAGTACTTCACCTTCTACCTTTGAAAAATAACATATACATAGCATCAGCTAAAAATAAAAATCACCCACCTACCAGAAAAACAATACCTACACCAGGCATTAGCAAAGCCCCCTGCCAGACCCCACACACGAGACCCAGATGGGTCACACACAATCCAGTTCACAAACAAGGCTGGACCAGTTTATTTTGAGGCCATGACCCCACATGGCTACTCTAGAGAAGTAAAAAGGTCTGAAATAGGAGACAGTCCAAATGATTTTTTTTTTATCATTATATCCTGCACATATGCAGTGAAATCACAAAGGGAGAGGACTAACCTACAAAGTAAATAAACATTTAAATGTTGCTGTGAAGAGGCAGTGTCTTGGCTTACGAGGAGGCTGAGGAAGTACTTGTTAACATGGGAAAAACAAGACTGCAGCACAATAAAACCATCACTGAGCTGAGCTGGGACACATCACACTGCTGGACAGCACACAGGACTACAGAGTGCAATGCAATAAAAGTACAGCAGACAGAGAGAGCGAGGAGAATCCGTGGGTGAGGGATTAACCAAAAATGTTTTCCAGAAGAGACACATACCCAAATCATAGCAAAAACATCAACTTCATTAAATGCACGGGGACACGGTTTGGGTGTAAAATTTGGCAAGTGCAGAATAACAGCAGCATGGGAAGAGCTCAGCTCCACTCCCTACCTTGCTCAGCATCACTGTGCTATCCAAGAGGGCTCCCAGCTGTGCTGTGGTTTAGACCTTGGGGACGCTGGTGGGATGCCACCCCTTAATGAATTACCACTTTGCTGGGCCACAGTAATATGCTAGATTTGTGTCCTGCTACTGCATGAGAGAATCACAAAATCGTCTAAGTTGGTATAGACCTTCAAGATCACCAAGTCCAACCATCAACCTGACCTACCAAGTCCCCTTAGTGCCATGTCCACATGGTTCTTAAAATACCTTCGACTGTGGGGACTTCCCTGTTTCCCCAGGCAGCCCGTTTTAATGAAGAAAACAGAACAGGGTCCACCCTCTCCATGAAGAAATTCTTCCTAATGTCCAATCTAAACCTTCCCTGGTGCATCTTGAGACTGTTTTCTCAAATTGTACCACTTGTCACCTGAGAATAGAGACCAACACCTTCTTTGGTACAACCTCCTTTCAGGTAGTTACAGAGAGCAATGAGGTCTCCCCTTAGCCTCCTCTTTTCCGGAGTAAAACCCCAATTCCTTCAGGACTGAGGAAAGTACAGCCTAAAATCTCACGCAGGTAGGATTAAACTATCTGGTGTTTTGTGTTCACAGCAGTGTGCTGCAAGGAGCTCGGGAACCCAGCACCAGGCCTTCAGTCCTCAGACTGCACTGACTAAAGAAGGTTTTAAGCTGGTATGAGCGTCAGGGATTGGCACTGATTTATCTGAACTATTGCAAAACTTGAGGGAGGCTTCATCCAGGGACCTCCAAGGGCCAGACAGTTATCATTAGCAGTTACTCAGCACCGAAAACGCCCAAAGCTGAGCACCCAGCCTCTTCAGGGACCCAGCTCCCAGCCAGGAATGCACAGACGCAGCCCACCCTGTTGTGCAAAACCTATCTTCTGGCCTATCTCTGCAAATGCCCTGGCCTCTGGGCTTAGCCTGTTTTTGTCTCTTGGAAAGATCTTCAGGTTCGAAATAGTCTCCTCAGGCTGGACTCACCCACCTTTTCTCGGGGCTGCCAATGAACAACTTACACCATGCAAATCACTCAGGGTGGAGGCAAACTTCGTGGCAGAACAGGGCATTCGGATGGTTCCTTTTATGCTTCACAGATCATTTGCATCCTTCTTCTCTGCCTTCGGGGCAACTCCCAGTCAACTGAACACCTGTTTTTAGCTGCCGGAAAGCAGATAAAAAACCTCCTTCTCCACCCAGCCCAATTCAGGGCCCTTCCTGATGTTCAGCTGGTGTCACTTGCACCCACCCCACTACTGCAGGCAGGCCGCTCATTTTATCAAGGAGGAGCCACATTTTATCAAAGAGTACATTCTCCTGTTTAAGCGCCTAAAGAATCCCAAGGGCTCATCAAACCGTGGCTCTCACTCACCTCAGCACACAAAATCCACGGAGAGCACGAAGCCTTGCACAAGGCCATGGGCTTGGTGGCCCCACAGCAAGTAGATATCAAGAGACCAAAGAGGCCCCAGTCTTAAACTCTGAGCCCTGAGATGCTGATGTTGGAGGTGTCAGCCCAGCACAAGCATGTTTCCAAAAAAGGAGGGAAAAAGGAGGGAAGGCAGCTGTTGTGTTGGATGAATTTTATCTGGGAAAAACCAGCCAGACTGAGAGCAGCCAAGTGAAAATGAGTTTTTTTGACTGGGAACCACTGATACTGCAGAACACATCCAGCTCTGCTTAGACACGCAACCAGGACCTGCAGTTGCATCCCTTTTCCTTCACATAATCATCACAGCTCCAAAGATTCAATTTATCCTTATCTCTGGATAGAGAATCAAGGCACAGCTTGAGATCAAAGAGACCAGCAAGCACCCAACCCAAGGGCACCATGAGCCCCTGCAATGTCATCTGGTCCCCAGGGCAGATGGATGGAAGATGTACATAGCCCCCATTTGGACATGGCCAGAGCTCAGCCAACAGGCAGCGACCATACAGTGTCATTGTGCCTGTGTTTCCCTCACTATATAAGGAAGCATTTTGCCTCTCCAGTGCTGCAGTGAAAATACTGGAATGACCAGTAACAGCAAATTGCAAAATTGCAAATTGCAAAATAAACTGTATATGCACACATGCACACACACTCCATCTCTTTGCCCACTTAATACTCAACAACTGTGATGTACTGCAGCAAATTGCATTTCCTCCTTCACCTAAGGTCAAAATTTCAGAATGCATCAATATCAGTTCCACTTTCTCAATGCAGGACAATGGGCTGCACCGCTGAGAGCACGCCTAAGGCATCAGTGGAGACAGAAGCATACAAAAGATCTTCCAGAGCTGCAGCTGTTCGGATAAAACAGCTTGTGCTGCTAAATTTTAACCTTTACTACAAAATATGTAGTCACATTGCAACACAGACTGGCCAGCACATGCTGAGCATTCTGCAAACACACGCAGAAAGCAAAGTTCCTGTCCCAAAAAAGCTTATGGTGAGGAGATGCAGGGGAGGAGGCAGCTCAGCAAAGGCAGATGGATATCTGGAGGGAATTTCCTGTACACAGGACACGCAGCAAAGTGCACAAAAGCTCTCAAGGGAGATAACCAACCAAGAGAGCCCTGACATGTAGGACTCATTTCTTCACATTTCCACACCTGCGGGCTGTTTCTGAGTTACTGGGATGCCGCGTATTTCAGAGCTACACTACTCATACTGGTGCCAGTATTCCATAGGCACAGTGTAAGCTTCAACCCAACCCTTTCTGCTGCTGCAAAGCCACAAGACACATTCCTCAAGAAGCTCAAGGACTGCAGAGAGCTGCTGCAGGGCTGGTTCCCATGAGGGAAGTGCCACAGGGCCATGCTCTCCATGCCACTGCAGGAGGTGCCTTGCTGGTCCCTACTGGGACCGCTGCAGCCGGCGTGAGCTGACCCAGTTGGACTGCAGCTGCCTGGGTGATGCTTCAGGAAGGTGCTTACGCTGTCATTTGGGGTGTATAAACACAGAGAGCAGGCTCAGACAAGCTCACAGATTTAGGCTGTGTCCAAACTACTCTCAAAGGAGAAGAAAATTCAAGGGCGCTTGGTAGTTTAGCAGAGGCCCAAGCTCTCATCAGCCAGTGGGTTCGGATATCCAAAGCTACTGCAGACAGCCTGGTCTCAGGTCATCCTGTGCATGGTGCAGACACTGAACTTGCAATTCCTCCAGCCAAATGCAGACCTTTCATCCAGACAAGGCGTCCCCGCTGTGCCTGCCTTACAGAGCAGCAGGCGTTGTAGGGAATGATTCATTCCACAGACACCTACAACAGGTCAGGGGCAGGCGCTTCTTAAAATTATCCATTTCCCTCCACTGACTGTTAAAGAAGGCTGGGGGAGACTTGTTCAGCTGCAGGTAATTGCAGCATCGATCTAGAGGAGCACAGCCCATGCCGTGAATCCCAAATGCAGTCAGGCCACAGCCAGACACAAGGTTTGTGTGAGCCACAGACCTCGGCATGCTCGGTTTAGTCTCCAGTCCTCTGTGACCCCGAGAACTTCAGGACTCTAAAGTCCTCCCTCAGCTATGTCCCTATAAAGGCACATAGACCCAGAAACCTGTAACAAAAAGAAGTCTGGAGGCTTGACAGAAGAGCTCTCACCCAAGGGCTGTGGGGGAGCCCCAGAGGGTTTGCACCTCTGAGCTCACCAGCGCTGAAAGCTGTCACCACTCACCTCATTTCCCAGGAAGCCCTGGCAGGACCTGAGCTCCCTGCTCATGCTCCTCCTTTCTCCTTTTCGCAGTCAAGCGAGACCTACACAACATCACAACAAAAGAAATGTCAGCAAGCCAAACCCTGTTCCCTCCCTCCAACCAAAAAAGCTTCATTTCCTCTCTTCTCCAAAATAACGCTGCAAAGTAAAGCAATTATATATAAAAGTGTTCACTCCGGCCCCCAAGGTTGCAATCAAAGAGGCAGGGAGTGAAAATCCCCCAGCTATACAAGTGTAATTGCACGCAGGGTGTGACGTGCCCCCCACAAGCAGCCTGGGGATGAAACCCTGCAGTACTGTGCCCACCCCGTGGCGAACACCCAGAGAGATCCAGCAACAGGGCACCAAAGCGAGCCTGAAGGTCCTCCAGAGACAGTCAGGTCAGCTTTTGGGGAAGCAATCCCCCAAACACTCCTGAGGAAGCTCAGCCAGGACTCCGGATGGTGAAGTGATGGCGAGCTGCAAGGACAAGGGCTGGGGTAGAGGACCCCTGCTGTCCCAAAGCATTGACGAGAGGGCACAGGTTTTTCCTAGCAGCCATCTCCAGCCTCATGGATGCCCCCTGATACAACCTGATCACACAAAGGTTGCAAGGGACACCTGGAGGACACCAGGCTGTTGGTCTGGCAGCTAGGGCTGCTGGGCGGTGGTGCTGGGGGTCTGCTTTCTCCCACAAACCAGGGTTCCCTCCTCTTCTTCCTCCCAAGCCATGGAACCCCTTGTCAGGGCAGCCCTTTATCACGGCGTCTTTGATAGCCCAAGCCTGAACCAAGGCAGGGCGGTGGGATTCTGTTAAGATCAGAATAGCTTCGTCATTCAGCGTACTTAACCGAGTGACATTTGCACTGCTAAATTTGGGCGAGTATGAGAAGCATTCCCGCAGAATGGGATGTGGGGGAGGGACAGGCAGTCTCTGGCCTCCTTTAATTCCCTGCCAAGCGTTCAGCAACTCAGAGCCCCTGCTCCTCCTGCAAGGCAGAGGTGCCACCCTGAGCTACCCTAGTGGGGATGCCAGCAAGCCTGGAGATGCTCTGCATTAACCCATTCGATTCAGCATCTGGGCTTGGCTGTTCCAAGAAAATGATCAAGTCAAACTTTCTAAAGCAGAGAAATACCTACAGCTCCCACTGAACTGAGAGGTTTCCAGGAGGTACACCTATCTCAACACAGGGAAGGAGTCGACAGCCCAGTCTGAAGGCACTGCCCTGAGGGGACGCACTGCTTAGCTCAGTAACAGCCAGCAAGAGTTCTTACGTTCAAGCTGCTCTGAGAAGTTGTGAATATAGGGTGCGCATAGGGTGCACATACAGGAACCAGCTGGGAAAAACAGCATTAATACCTGCAGCAAGAATGGGCTACCAGCACAAGCAGCGTGTAGCAAAATCACCCGGACCTGCAATGCAGGTACCGAAAAACAAGTGATCACCAGGATTTGCTTCAGAGATTGCAGAAGGGAAATAAATCCCTATCTCGCTCTCATTGTTGATGGGTAAGGGAAGGTAACATGGGTTGCAGTAACCTTTCTAGGCCTGTTTTCTACAAACATGATCAACACCTGAATCTTCAGTTAGTTCTGTGGAAGTCCAGAGGAATCTGCCTCTGGAAAACCAAGCCATAAGACATCTTTGGGGGGGTTGCTGCCCACATCCAACAAATACTTTAATTAATCCCAGAGCGTGCCAAGTCTGCTGGCATACAAGGTGAGCCAGAAACCTTTCCCAGCACCCACACTGAGAGGTTTGAGCGAGCTTTTGAGGAATCCAGGAGGGAGCCCATGCAACCAGCTGCAGCACTTCAGCTACTGCTGCTCTCCTGGATCACTTGCCAAATGACTCGCACACACACACCAAATCCAGGCTTACTTTCTGTAAAAGTGGGCATCAAACACTCTGACATCAAGAACGATGATTAAAGACACTGAGTTACGAGGAAAGATTAAAAGAGCTAAATATGTCTAACTTGGCTAAGCAATGAGTAAGAGGAGACACGATAAAAGACTCCAGGCATCCGAATGAAGGGAGTGGCGCTGAATTAAAGAACTGAATAGTTCGAATGAATAAAATATCTTTCTGAGAAATGGATCCGTCAATGATCTCCCAAGAGATAAAGTACAAGCCTCATTTTTTAGGCATTTAAAACTAGTCACTAGAATCTGCGTTTTTGAGGAGAAATCCACATTGCCCCGGAGGGAGTATGCACGAAACCTTTTCATCTCCCATACAGGATGCTACGAACAAAGCGTGCAATGCCACAGGGAAGCACAATAAACTTGGGAAGAGGCAAGTATTTAACTCCACCTCACCCAAAAAAGCAGAGATATGTTTTTTACTGCATAATAATAATAAAAATATTTTTTAAAAAACAAACAATCAAAGAGGTCTGTAACCAAGATCTTCAGTATCCTCTCTGGCACACTCAGGCTCTTTGCTGGGCGTTTCCAGTTCACAGAAGCAGGCAGGTATAAACAAAATGGTTTTTATTCCTTTGTCTTCAGCAGACCCTAATCCTTACTACCTTGGCTAACAAATAATAATGCTAATAAAAAGGGAAAACAACCACCAGCCCATTCCACACTAACAGGTCTGGGCGCCCTACAAGTACTTGACCGACTCCACCAGGTGAAGGTGCCAGCTGGGAACCCAGAGCTCATCAACTGGGGGAAAAGACAACAGGAACAGCATGTGATGGAGGCTGCACTTACAACCTCCACTCCCAGAAAGCCCCATGACATGGCAAGGTGACAAAATCCTGGAAACCAATTCACTACCTGGCTCTGCTGAGACCATACCCCTCAGAGGAAGCACCCTCTGAACCAGGGATCTGATGAGCTTGGTAAAATTAGAAGCAAGCCCTGAGAAAACTGCCTGGGATGAGAGCTAAACCTGTTGCACTGGGTTTGCCCCAAAACCCCACGTGTAATGCATGCAGCACACATACGTAGCTAAGTACCAACTCTGAAGCCAAAGATTTTGCAGGTGTGTTCACACAACCTTTGATCTCTGGCCTTAGGAGGGTCTCCTGAACATCTCCTTCAGCATGGACCACACAATGTGCTCAGGGCAAGGAACTTGACCTGAGTGGTGTTTACTGAACACAGAGCATTGGGTCAGGACAGAAGGGCTGCCAGTTTCCAGCACCAGCAGCTTATTGATACCTTTCATACACCTGGGGGTTGCAATTCACCTCCAGGAGGTCTTGTAGGGGTGTCTGCTCCTGATATCCTTGATGCAACTTGGCCACTGAGAATCGCTGGGTATGATTTACACAGCTCCTTGGCAGGCTCCTTCACCTTCAGCAGGGAAAAAGCCAAAACCCCTCTGCTGGGGGTGCAATTTAAATCACAGTCAAGTTCACTCAGTGGCCACAAGTCATCAAGGAGGTGGCTCTGTCCCTAGTGCCCCGGGCCTCCCCCACAGCAGCAGAGCAGGTAAAGACAACCCAGGGCCATCGGGTCTAAGAAAAAAACAGCAAGGAAAAAAAAAAAAAGAAAAAAAAATGAAGAGTTTTCATCTAATTAATTCCCTAAACCAGTTCAGTGGGGTTCAGGCAAGTACTAGAAATCTTTCCCCTTTTGGCACAAGGCAGATCAGCTGAACTGCAACATGTGACCACAATCCAAGGCAACCTTTGTTTGCAAGACCAAGAGTGGATCTTTTTGATTTATTTTTTTTTTTCTTTCCCACAGCAAGGCTGCTGCAGACCTAAAAGCTTTCTCCATGGGAACAGGAGATCCACCGTTTACTGACCGGTGAGTTTTACAGCAAAGCTGAAACAGGACATCCACAGAAAAGTGTTTTTTTTATTATTTGTTTTGTTTTTTGATTGTTTTGGTTTTTAATATGTGGAGCATTTTAACACATAGTGAATCTTCTTGCTTTGTTCTTCCATGTCTTTTTGGAAGGCTGAAGCGAAGAGACACTTTGCTTCACCAGACACCAAGATTTATTGTACATACTGAAGAAACATGACTACCCCAGCTGAGAGGAAGGGGTAAAAAAAAAAAAATCATCTGTTTCCATCGCTGCAGCAACACCGATGCTCAAGATAACAGGCTCAGGCCATCACAGTCATAAAGAACTAAAGACTTGCAGGTTGTATTTAGACACCCACTTCCCGTCCTTTTGAAGTCCATTTTGGGTATCCCCGCTCAGGCTACTTCTGCAGTTTTACTCTGCTCTCATTCAAAGAAATAGATCTCGGGCCCCTGAGCTCCTGCAGCTCACAGGGCAGAAGCACAAAGCCCCCCTGCCCCACAGCTCACCCCCACCATGAAAATCTGGGGAAGCCGAGCAATGAAATGTACAATTTTGCCTCTGTAGGGAGTTAAGGGTTATTATTATTATTTATTTATTGCCATTCAGCTAGCTCACAAGAAACAATTGTCTCCCATGTGGCCAACACACAGACAAGTTTCTACTATTCAAAACATCAGACTGGGGGAATTCATGTGTAAAGAAACCTGGAGAGCAGCCCGAAACAGGAGCAGGTCCAGGTATAGGGGTACATTCCCTGCATCTCTCACCCAATGCACCGTGCTGCAACGAGGGGCAATGCGAGAGGTGAGCCCCGATACAGTCCATGCACCCCACCACGGGTGAGCGAGGGCAGGAGGGAAGCTGTAACCCAGAAAACCCAAAAGGTGACTCCTACAGCTCTGTCTGGAGCCGGTGCAGGTGCTCCTGTGCCCGGTGTGACCACAGCTTGTCCTGGCAGGGAAGGGCTCTCATGGCTCCAACCCAGTGACATAGCCAGGGCAGAGCTGGCTGGACCTATAATGACCTATACAGAAACCCACATCCTATTACTCTTCTTTGACTTGCAAAGATGCCAACAGCAGGACCTGATCCTCACTGCTCTACCTGCCCGCACGGTGTGAACTCCCCACCATGGGCACCGTGCCTTCCCCACCACTACCAGCAGAAATGACCACAAGTCCCTGCCATAAGAGCGATTTCTGCGTCCTTCTCCTGCTAGAAGGATGCAGTAGGGTGCCTGTTGATGCTTATGAGAGGTGATGGCCAGCACAGTCCTGAGAGCATCT